TAGACCGATTCATTCCAAACATTACTTGGTGTTGCCGATAGCAAAAACCATTGCCTTCCCCCTGATTTTTGTAACTTTCTTTCAAAACGCAGAACCCTCCCAACTTATAACCACTATCTCCAAACTGTGGGACTTGAGAAAGCACCCATAACTTAAAACTCTGAATGGCCATTTCATTCTGTGGTCTGCTTCCATGACCAAAGAGCATGAACTGGTTGCTTTTTCCTCTTCATTCTCCTTACTTTATGCTTTTGGCCTCGGATTATTGTTCGCAGCACCATTTTACAGAGCAATTTATCCAAATATATAAATTAATAATGAGACAGTTAATTAATATTTTATATTGATATTTTTGATAATTTTAATTAATATTTTTTATATTTTTATGTTAGTAAAAGACAAATAAACTTAGTGCTATGGCACTATACAATAATCTCAAATGAGACATTAATATTAATAATTTTCTACTCAAATAGAGCATTAATAAAGATATATACTTTCTTATTTCTTAAGAAACAAATTTGAAAACTTAATTATTCTTAATTATTTACTAGGGAGATTTTTCAACTTTTTTTTCATAACGTGTTGCACGAATCGAGGCGAAGAAATTATCAAAACCAAAACCTAAGCAGTTTTTTTTTTTTTATATAGTATATTTGATTACAAGATATATAAAAATTGATAATCTTTTTTACTTTTTATGCCCCTTATCACTTAATTAAAGATTCAAACTACATATTTTCAATTTAAAATATTAAAATTTTAATTGTTGAGTCATCTTTTAAGGTTAAACTAAGTAGTTATGTTACCAATATTAATGACTTGTTAGTTTAAAAAAAAAGAATTTAATTTTTTTTAAATAAAATTTTAAATTTAAATTTTATAAATAAAAAAATAAATATTAAGAATAATTTTTAGATTTTAAAAGTTTAATAATAAAAAAAGAAAAGTTTTGTTACCAATGTTTTTTTCAATAAAAAGGTTTAAGTACCATTTTGGTCCCTCAACTTTACACTTTGATACCAAAATTGTCCTTCACTTTTAAAAAGTATCAAAATTGTCCTTCACCTTTAAAAAGCACCAAAATTATCCTTAAACTTTCATTTTTGTACCAAAATAGTCCTTTCGTCAGTTAAATGACAGGTGTCACGTTAACTTGCCAGCAAATCAATTTTTTTTTTGCTTAACTAATGACATGGAAAAGAAAAAACATAGTTGTCATTTTTTTTTATGAGTTGGCATTTTTTAAATTAAAAATAATAATTTTTTTCCATCCACCTCATCTCGTCTTCATCTTTCACTTTCTCTCTCCTTTGCCTTACCTTTTCCCATACATCTGCAAAGCCAGATCTAGGTTCTCTCTTAATCTTCATCTTCGTCCTCTTTTCATCTTCCCTGCTCATCCTTCTTCTTTCTTCTTCTTATTCTCTCTCTCCCTTCTCCCTTCTTCCTCTCTCAAACCCAAATCTAAGTTTTTCTCAAAACCAGATCTGGATTTCATCACATAAATTAAAACCCACTTCCTTTATTCAATTTACAAAATGAATAAATGTCTATTCACCTACATTTTCTTTTTTGCAAAATTGAATCAGGCTTCCTTCTTCTTTATTCTTTCTCTTTCTCTTCTCCCTTTTTCTTCCTCTCCAGATCTGGGTTTCGAACCCAGATCTAGGATGGAACCGAACTGGTTAGGACTCCCGACCCAAATCGAGATCGAAAGCTTACTTCTCGAGAATTTCAAGGACCTGCAGCTGTTTCTATTCTCATCCTACCAAGTTCGACTTAAGGACGGCAATGTGTCTTTTGCCGTGGCGATAAGGGGAATCTCTACTTTGGCTACCTTTGCCGTCATGGTGCTCGGGGTCTACTTCGGAATCGACCATACTCAATCGTCGGTTGGATCTGATGTTGACTCTTAAATCTAGTTATAATCTAACAAATCCTTCAATTTTCTCTAATCCCAAATCAAATTTGTTAGGTTTTCAATCCAGATCTGAGTTTTCCTAAACCAAAAACCAAAACAAAAAACAAAAATGAAAAATCCCTTTCCTTTTGCGTTGGGTTCTCAAATGGAATGCAATTTCAAAAACAAGTTAAAAACCCAGAAAAAGGAAAGCTTAAAAAGAGAAAATCAAGGATGGTAGCTTAGAAAAACCCAGTCCAAAATGATAACAAAAATCCTAAATTTTCTGTTTGGTACCATGAATTTCATCAATGATAACAAAAATCCTGTACTAAAAGAAAAGAGTGAGTCTCCCTCATCAGGGCAGGATGGATCTGCATTTGCTATTGAACCAACAACTACATCAATGGGAGGCAAAATTGCATGCAATCCGCGTGCCATTACTGTCTTGGCTGTTCCTCGCCTTCCTGATATAGCAATTCCTCCAATCTCGCGATCAATAGCGCCCAACAAAAGCGCAGTTTTAATGGCATCCTGTCACAATAACCATGGTCTCAATCAAAATGCAAAGCAATGTTCCAAGGAAGAAGCAAAGTTTGGCGTTAGCTACTGAGAAAAAGGAAGAACAAACCTGGCCAACGACGGCAGCTAAGGGAAAATACTGTCTTCCGTATGAAGTGGAATCCTCATTTCGAGAGGCAAGGAGTGCGCCATTGGTGGATTCCACAACAGCAGCATTTGAAGACACTCAAACACGGAATTGAATGGGGTTGCAGAGGCATTTCTTAGGCTTCAAAGAAGAAGAAGAAGAAGGAAGCGAAGAAAAGGAGAGGATGTGGGTTGAGTATGATAGAAGGCTGAAGTTGAGAGGGTGAAAGAACCCAGATCTGGGTTTGATCAAACCCAGATTTAGAGAGGAAGAAGAAGAGGGGAAGAGAGGAGAGAGAGAAAGAATAAGAAAGTTTAAAAAAAGTCATGTAGGCTCCATTAAAAAGGAAAGTTTAAAAGGTGATAATATGATGGGTAAAATAATATGCCATGTGTACAGAAAAAAATGCCATGGTAACAAAATTTTTTTAGTTGGATTTACACATCATTAAGATTCAAAAAGTCTAATAATTTTGCTGGCAAGTTAACGTGACACCTCTCATTTAATTGACAGAAGGACTTTTTTGGTATTAAAAATGAAAGTTTAAGGATAATTTTGATACTTTTTAAAAGTGAAAGACAATTTTGAACCAAAGTGTAAAGTTGAGGGACCAAAATGGTACTTAAACCCAATAAAAACAGTTTTTAGTTGACTTCAGCTTCTATCATAATTTTTTTTTCCATGGGCCACATTGGTTAGTGGAGCTTCAACTTAACCGTTGGTGTTCTGCTTTCTGTCCCGTGGAAAAATAAGAAACTATGCTCCCAACTAGCAACTAGAATATAGATTCAATTCTGGCTGTTAAATAGTCCAACTTTTTATCATTTTTCCTTAGTGCCTGTACCTTTATATGTGTAACTAGTTGATTTAAGCCAGTCAACTACTAACATGTTTTTATTGTTAATTGAAAATTATTTAATTAAAGTAATTTTAATGCATATTATTTATTAAAATAAATTAAATTATTAATGTTTAACGTTGAGTTTCATTCATTTATAATATATAAAAGTGTAAGAAGAATCAAACCATTCTTGAGTATGAAACTATACATCTATAGAAGGATTCTATACAAAGGTTATGAGCTGTGTTATGAGTTTGTGTTTTATGAATAGTCTGTGAAACAGTGGCGGCTCTTTTCTGGTTCCATTCAAGAGTTCATGGATGTAGATTTCAATTTCCACTCCAGTCATCACCAGCAGAGAGCACCATGTAACCGCTTCAATTATCAAGGATACAATCGGAATAAAAGGAATAAAACTGATATATATCATATATGAGTATTGTGGGATTATTGGAAATGGTTTTAACCAAGCTTGATGGTGGAGTGGCTTAAACGAAATCATTACCGATTTGCTAACAATATTACGAATAGATAAAAATCAAGCTGTTTCAAACAATTTTCTTTACTTGGGATGAACAGGGAATGCATGCTAGTAATTAAGAGACGTTGGCCATGACAACACTGCAAAACTAACAATCCATCTCTATTAATTAAGGCTTTGTTTAATATAGTTGTGGTTATTGTTTTTTAATTTTTTTTTTCATAATTTAAAAAATTAAAATTAACAATTAAAACAAAAATTAAAAATTAAATTGACAAACTATTGGGTATAAAAATTTAAAACTAATAATCAAAACTTGAGATTTAATTAATTTATAAAACTTCTTAATTTTATTTTAAAGTTTCTAAATTTTTAAAAATCAAAACTAAAAACTTAAAATCATAACAATATTAGATGAAGTCTTACTTATTTCTTTCAAATTTAGCCAGAAGAGAAAAATACATACATTCTCACCACCATACTCTATATCAGTTCTGACCAAAGGGGAAATTATTCCAACCATATATCCATGTTGATACTATCGCAACGGAACATATGTCATAATGCGACAGGAAAAAGCATTTGTTCGTGAATGTAATCCATTTTCACATGGAATTTTGGGCTTATAGATATTTTGTTTCATCATTTTCTTATTTACAGGGTTCTTCAAAACATAACAACATATGCAGTATTGTTAAAACAAAAACAGAAAAACTTCATGCTAATACCCATGAAGCATAAGATTGAAACCAACCTCAAATGTAGATGTTGGAATAGTCAGCCTGATGCATTGTGGCAGGCTGCAGGCTTGGAAAAGGCCCACTAATTGAGGCCCATGAAAATAGGTTCATCGCATCGATATTGATAGATGAACCAAGGAGATTGAAACACCTGTCAATTATGTTATAAATGAGTGTTATAAATAGGTTTAATTTAATTTTTAGTCTATTAACTATTAGTTTAATTTCAATTTAGTCTAAAAATTTTTTTCCTTTCTAAATGGTTTATAAACTTTGGAGAGTATTTCGAAATAGTTTACTGCACAAAATTTGGTTATATTTAACATAAAGAGTAGTCCTTTAAGTTTTGAAGATGTGATCCCGTAATCTTAATAAAATATGATAACTCAAGAAATATTTTATAGAGATAGATTAGTGATTTGTAATAAATTTAAACAACTAATTTAATTCAAATAGAGAAACTTAGTAAGTTTAGAACGAAAAATTTTAAGAGTAAGTCTGTTTTATTGTGTAAATTGTATGTAATTTATCTTATAAAATTATTTAAATATCTTTAAAAAATAATATAAAAAATAAAATTAAAAACATTTAAATAATTTTACAGGACGGATTGCATACAGTCTGATTTGTAAAATAGTTTTCTGAAGAACACATTTAGCGAGATAATAATAAAAACTATTTTTACGATGAATATAAATTTAATGATTAAAAAATCAAAAGAAATATAATTAGAGGACTAAATATTTTCTCATAAAGGAAGAAGATTCATTAAAGATAATGGACTAGATGAAATTGAAATAAATGTGAAAGATAATATACATGATAGGAAAAATTTAAAAATAACAAATGAAACTAAAAAAAATATAAAAGTTAATAGATAATTTATTAAATTAACCTGTTATAAACATCATTCTACTTACTATTTTCAAAGTAATTACTTTCATTCAAATTTTTCTTTATATTCATTAATCGAGATCTTCTTCCTAAAAAATATAAATTATTATTAATTTAAACATCAAAGTATTTACCTTGATAAGACATCCTCAAATTCCACTAGTATTCAAGTTGAAGTACGCTCAGATCCAAATCGCAATCCAACCGTAATATTTTGTACTTGAACAGGAGCCATTTAAATTCAAAGTTGAAATGCCCATTATCAATCTGTATGGTAGCTAAGTAGTAGAATAACCACTCTAACCAACTAACAATTAATGCCAACAAATAATTATAGTACTCTGACCTCATATAAACTGTTGTACTTTGAAATCCTTCTTGATCAGCCATATTTGATACATGCACAGAGCCAATAACACCAATGAGATATACTGATGACCAAAGAATCAAATTGCACAAGGTGTGTATGCAGGAAAAGCATTAGCCAAAGCTCTTGGCCACATCCTATTGGCCATCGACAAACAAAACAAAACCATGGTTGAAAGCCATGTTCTTATTGCATTTACACATATACTCTTAATTTACCACCCGCTGCCCTATTATTTATTAGCCACAAACTTCAACAATTATTTGCCTGCATGTTCTAAAACAAATTGACCTAAACTAAAGATTTTCACCATTAGAGACCATAAATATAGAAGATGGATTTACGTTTCTTCCTCCATCTATGGTACACAACCATCTGCTCATATTTTTAGAAAATTTTCTTTCTCAAAACAATTGAACATATCTTTTATCTTTTATATCAAAAGAAATATATATATATATATATATATATGAGTGTCTTGTTTTATAGTATGAACTATTTTGGATTGTAAAATATGAATTGTTTGATAACAATGACCTAAAAAGTTGGGCCCAGAAAATTTAGAAAAGGAGAATAAAAACCAATACATAAGAAATAGAAGCAAGAAAACCAAGTGCAAAGAGATGATATGCCGATATAAATTTGAAGTTTTAGGCTAGTATAAGGTCCCTACATGCAATCAGACAGAAAATAAAGAGAAAAGAGATGATTAAGTCGGCATGAATTTGAAGTATTAAGTCGGAATAAGGTCCCTGCATGTGGTCACACAAAAGGAAATACTTGTATTACACTTAACCTACTTCTAGAATTCTCAACCAAAACAATGAGTCCAAGCTCGGGACTTGGAAAAAATGATACTAAACCGTTCGCAAATAAAAAAAAAAAATAAAAAAAAAGAGGAAAAGAAAAGAAAATTACGAAATTGAACTGAACTTGAAAAGAAATATAATAAAAACAATGAATTAATTTAAAATTTCTTTTTTGAATAGCACCTTTTATTTTTCTTTTCACCACCATATTCTCTTGTTTTTTCAGCATTCTTTATCTCTAAACAAACTAATTCAATTAAGAAATGCTAATACACAACCAAGAAAATGAGCATCCATAAGTAGTGTAAAGATTTAAGCATAACATCAGTCTTCCTACTGATAATAATCTTTCTCTCATTCTTTGTGTTTATTATTATTATTTTGGTTAAGCATACAATTCTCATAGTAAGCCATAAAAGAAGAATAGTTATGCATACCAAATCACAGCATGACAAAACCAATAAACTCAAACACAGACCAAAAAACATAGCAAATCACTAAAAAATATTATTGGAGCTTTCATCTTAGAAAGATAATTAAACTTTAACAGCTTACCTTCCTATCCTTCTCTTTTTGATGATTAACAACTTCAAAAGGCCACTTGTTTACCACCTTCTCAAGGTTCATCTGTGATGACTTTTTCGAATCAAGTTTGTCACGTCATATGTGAAGAAGCATGTTGCATTGGCTACAACTCTTATATAGGCCTTTGACACCTTATGAACCAAAGGATCTTTTCTTAGTGCATCAATGGAGCTAGAGAATTTGGAGCTCTTATAGTTGTCTACTTAGATCACACTCTTGACAAAGTATAATATATGGAACTTTCTGAGCGCACTTAGATTCTTAAGAAAATTTAGGTGGAACCAATTAATTGTAAAATAATGATGATGATGATGATGATGATGATGATGGGGAAGAGAGGACTTAATTAAACAAGGTTTTTTTTTGTTAAGGAGCCAAGATGCATAAATCATCAACTTTGGGGATATAATGAAAAAAAAAAATACCTAGTTGATGTCTCATCGCAAAATTAATACCCTTTGGCTAAGCAGTTGTTGTAACGTAGCTTTAGGTGTTGAATCTATAGGGAAACTATATTAAACCAACAAAAAGAGTTGTCACAATGAAAAATTAAATTAAAAGATGATTTTTAAAATTAAGAATAAAAAAATATTTAAATAAAAAATGATAATTATAGAGGATTGAAAATAAATTATGATGAATAAGAGTTCAAAGTTTACTTAATTGATTTGTTCAACTGTTATAAATTTTGATTCATTTTTATTACTTAATTGCATGTTTCACATCACAAACAAAAAATTGGAAAATTTAACTCTAAAGACCAATAATAGAAACTAATGTATTTATTTTGAGAGAAATTAATTTCAATGAAAAACAAATTGATCTATCCTTACAAGTTATTCAAGAGCAACAATATATCTAATCGACAATACTATAGTAAAGGATTAAAACGTAAAACAAATCTACCAATCAATTATATTCTAACAAATTACACATAAAAAAAGCCTAACTAATCTTATATGAAATTTGATGAATGTAATTTTAAGGGTTTTCAAATTTGCAAATAATTAATAATCTCTCAAAAATAAAATTAAACAATAAAATATATGAAAAAATCAAAATAAAATAACAAATCAAATTCTTTAATCAAGATTTTTCCTAACCTTGTTTAAAGTTTAGTTTCGATATGACATAATTTTCTAACATTGAAAAGAATAAAATAAAAACCTAATTTTAAAGACTCCTATTTATATTGAAAATAAAATAAGAGGGTTAGATAACTAGGGTTGCTCTAAGAAATTAATTTTATTTTTTCCTTTTTCCCCGCGCAGTTTGTCGGACAGGCATTGGAACCTGCTACAGGGTGCAGATTGCAGAACTCTGATGTTACTGTTTTTGTGCAAATTGACTAGGGGTTGGAACCTGGTCCAAGGTGCAGAACCTTGCATGCTTCTGTTTTTCCTTTTGCACTGGTCATGGACTTCACGAACCATGCTCTTAATCAAAAATGGAGAAAATCCCACTTGAGCCTTCAAACTTTTAAATTTAATCCTTGGATCCTTACTTTTAGTTCTTTGCATTTA